TAACACCTCGCGTTTGCTCAACAAAAATACGAAGAATTACTTGATCAATGCCGAGGTTAATAGAAAGTCGGTCGTGGGGGTTAGAGTTGAGTTATGTATGCTGTACATTGTCGTTGCTGCAAATTGGTCTTAGGAGGATACAACTCCTGCTTGATACATAAGTCGGCCTACGCAAGTTGTTACAAAGACAAAGTGTACAGTCGTCAACACCTGCGATAAGAATGGAGTAGAATGTATGGTTGACCTTTCTGTGATTGATAAATACCAAAGCTTTTGCCCTTTAACTGACAGTTATACGTGAGGTTAGCAAAATCTTTATGACGGTTTGCGTTAAGGCGACATCGCTGTCTTCAATACCTTGCAAAATCGGTATTTCCTATGATTTTGGAATTTTCGGAATCGCATCGAGGCAAATCGAGTGCAATGGAATGTCCCATGGATTTGATGTAAAGGATAAAGAAATAAAGCGTTCGGTTTTGATCAATCCATGAGGGATGCACGTTGAATTCGACTTCACCAATCAATACAGAGGTGATTGGATGTATTTCTGACTTATACAATAACTTTCGCTGGAGCTCTGATCTGTCAAGTCAGTGGTGCTATCTTTGCAAACAAGCCTGGTATCAATTTATCAACACTGAGAGGATGGAAGAATAGGTCCCGATCCTGGGATCGGACCAACGACCGAAACGCTTTGTATTGCAGGATAGCTATAACCACTGCGCTGTACACGCTCAACTGGATATTTAAGACGCATTGAGACGCAAGTGAACCAAAATATTCATATTGATTCATCAAGTGGAAGTAAGCTTTTCAACAGTGCCTACTACTCGTAAGTTCTTCGAAATTTCCTGGAATACAAAAGAAAGAATTCACCTCTTCCCTTTTAATGGAATATATCCACCCGTGTAGAAGATCGTATTCTGCTAATACACCGAGATGTTGTAAAGTAAGAACAGCAATAGCGCATGTTACACCAAAAAGATGACACGAATGTCATCACTGTTCTTTTCTACATAGAAATCTCAAACGGTAACTAGCACTACACCTACTTCTGTGTAGTTTCAAACATTGCTAGAGGAGTAAACCTGTAAAACGCTCGTTATTCGTCTATTTCGAAAATGACATAGATCACTAACACGTACAACAAACACTTTACTACTTGATACATGCATATAGCTTTGACATATATCGAAATATAGAGGCAGATATGAATGGATATGATAATCGTCGAGTGCAAGAAGATTCCGCTCACTGATTCAAGCTTTGCGTTCAAAGTGAGAAATAGTATAAAACATTACGATTCAATCCGTTAAAAGTGGAAATAAATGATAAACAATAAGTAACTGTTTACAAACAAACATGAACAGTTTCAGTGAAATATGAGCGATTATCGGAAATTGTAGAATGTCAAGAAAAATAAGGCATAGTATGAAAAAGATATGCGAATAACTCTTGACATTCTGCCTCTACACTCACAATCTGCTTACTCTCATTTAAACAATACAACAACAAACCCTTTTTCATACACCATGTGACTCCTCGACTTGCACTTCTCTCTCTCCGTCTCTCTCTTGCTCTGTTTTCCCTTCTTTTTCTCTCGCTCTTCTTCTTCATAAGTGTGATGTCCACGATAAGAAAAAACTCTTTTAATCTGTCCACAGATTGTAGCAATAAATTGATTTCCACGAGAGGGTAGTTAAGTGAACATGAATATGAGATGACACGCACATAGAGTAGAATATGATTACTCGCTTCATTAACAGTAAGGTCTACTACATGCTTAGTGAGACTGGACTCACAACGGTATTGACTACAAGTATAAAACATTTCTATAAACGAAACGAAACGTGATTCAAATTCCACATCGGAATCTTACACCTCCCGAGAAATCTCTGATGGTACCGTAAGTGTCAAAACTGGCGCCGATTGACGCCGTTTACGAAGTCGATCGAATGCGCTCTCTGAATTCGCATCCAGAAGCGGTGAATTACGACGTGACCACGCACCTCTGAAAACACATTTTGTCGAAGAAATAGAGCAAACCACTCTCCAACTAACTTCCAGTTTTCTACTGCCCTTCTCCATGAGTTACCTTTATTATCTATGCCTGAATGCCAATTTTTCTAGAAAAATCACTAATGCGTGACTACCTGACTTTCGCGCAAGTAGCGGAACTAATTTTATGAGCATTTTTTAGTGGACGAAGAAGTTAAATAAATTTTTTCAAAAATAAAAAAAACCGACCACCTACTAATGCAAACATCCAAATGGTAAACACCCATATATTCACAAATAGACAATGTATAAAACAACTGTTATATTATTTTTACCACACATAACAACATTCTCCAATGACCCCTCGTATTATCTTGAAAGGAAACTGCTCGTGGGTGTAGACATTCAACGTCGAGCGAGAGTTCATCACCTCAACACCGTTATCAAGCTCTTAACAAACACAGCAAATGTATATCACCACCTCCTGCCAAAAAAGGGGTGCTCTTCAACTGTTTTTCTTAATGAAAGAGCATACTGAGCTCTGCTAAGCAACAAAAACGAATGCAGTTTACTGGAAGAAGGCAGACTTTCTCGCAACATTAATGGGCCCTACTATAGGTGACACTGTTAGTAACCATACATGACCATGTTTCGATTTCGCTTCATTTTACACCTAAATGAGATGCTTGGTCATTTGCTGCCGGCCAGCCTCTTGTGAGCCCTTGAATACACCAAGGACATTGGTTAATCGAGTTTCCTCAAGCGAAAGTTTGTTTTCAAAACCTACATTTAAGGCATTCTCTCCGAATATTTGAGTTACCCCGAAATTAAGCCGTCTAAGACTAATTGTCTTTTTTCTACCTTGATGCATGTTGCAATATGGTGTGCGAGTACTTAGAAATGGAAATCCGTGCTTTTCGTGACGCTTCAAATGCTTTGTTGCGAATTTCCTCTTGAAGGATGAAGTAACACATCGAGAACAATACCACGCCTAAAAAATTATAAGAAAAGAAAGCAATCTAGAAATGTTTCAAGTAATAGCGACCAGTTCTGTGAATTAAATTTCAGCCACAATGATGCAGAGATTTTTGCAAAGCTCTGGACCATAGGTGTCTGTGGTAGGGAACGAATGCGCTATTATCCTCAAATAGATTTCAAATAACACATTTTTTTAAACATTTTCTAACGGGCATAAGCAGCTCAAGCTGTTTTCTCCGCAAAAAAAAAATTTCAGAAAAGCAGCGTTTATCACAAGTAAAGCTAAGGCGAGGTTGTTCCCAATGTCCATTCGGCCGACGTTTCGATGTCTTCATCTTCCTCAGAGTCGTTCCTCAGAATAAATATTGGTAACAACCTCTAGTTAGCATATCAATGAAACAAGGTCCATTGACCATTTTTGCCGAGGTTGAATGAAAGTCGATTTAAAATAATGTAGTAGAGGAGGTTCACCCAAATAAAGGGCTCCAGCAACGCAGCGGTACAAGATTCCCTGCAATAAACAAGCGGACTTTGGTCCATTTCCGCTTCCCTGGCAAAGAATGCTCTCTTTGGATTAGCAAATTGGCACCAAACATCTCTGGGAAAATAAAAAGACGATACTAGCTCAATAGATTATGCTGGACCTCTCATGTCATTTACAAGCCAAGTGTTCACTCGATAGCCTCTACGACTCTACAAATGGATACGAAACCATGGCGTATTCCTACTAGATGGGTAAATATTGAACATTTAATCCATTAAAGATCTTAACGACACTTCTCTTAGGTAATAGTTGCCTGATGGGTGTTAACCAGTAACTGATTCGTCCATACTGTTCATGATATCGACTGTGCACTGATAAGTCTCTTCCCCTTACCGTATGTCACAGATCCGTCATTACATGTACAAAATTCAATGTTAACGATTTCACAAGTGGAAAAAGAATTCGACAGTGTAGAGCTATGAAAATGATCAACGTTGTTCTTACCGAACACAATAAACACCGCGTTCACCAGTATTGTTCGTGGATCACGTGGAAAGACATCACCGAAACCTATAAATATAGCATCTAGACCATAGTTTCCAAACATGGACACAAATGTCGTTTAGGAAAGATATATAATAGGCATCTGGAAAAAGTAGATTTGCTTGGCATTTCTTTTGAACTATCTCACCGATTAGAGCAACACTGTTGAAAAGAAAGTACACAGACGTGAAGTAGTCGAATTCAGTAGAAACTGAGAAGAAGAATGACGAAAGAAGAATGTACAATATGAAAAACAATACACCAGCGATAAAAACACGACGCTGTTCGTCTGACAATGATTTCTGACCTGAAAAATACTTCGTTTAATGATAGCCACACCAGTAGTAATTCAAAAAAACTATTTTAATGATCACGACCTCTCTACAGATTGGCAGTGCACTTGACTCTATTCGTAGCACAGTGGCTAAATTCATACCAGGCCAGCACTTTGATTTGTAACGGTCTACAGATGCTTTCCAATCCCAACTCAATGTGGACCATTGTTTTATCCAGTACGTGAACCCGAACCAACGAACAAGTGTGCATTGCAAGGCCATTCTAACTTCTGCTTTACCAGCCGCCTTACTCAACAGCACAAACGATTTTAATGCTCATAAGTCACGAAAACAGATTCAAAGCGTTGCATTGCTTCTCTACCTATGTTATCAATGTCAGTTGTATACAAAAAAGTACTTCTTTGAAAAACTGATAGCCATTCCGCGCTTCTCATTCAAGAACTATGACAGAAAAGAAAACAATACAGTAATTATCAAATGTTTCTATGCGATCTTATAAACTGATCTTCTTAAGCTGACGCGAGGTTGGTACAGATCTTCGTTGTCGTTGTCGTTGTTTTTGATGTTGCTGGTCGATGGCTGACGTTTCGGCGACTTCGCCTTCCTCAGAGCCTGGACGTATTTTATGTTACAATACTTTTATTATTCGGTGGTAAAAAAGGTTAAAGTATTAATGAGGATCAAGCTTTCAAATAGAAGTTATATTGAACAGAAAGGCCACTCACCGTGATGTTACGTGCGGGACTGGCCCACACGTAGTTCACGTGGAGTCGCGTGCAAGACACGCCCGGGGGGTCAAAATATCATTTTGAAATAGGGCGCCAGGTCACTCGTCATAGGGCATTCGTCCTTCCGGTTCATCTTTGGATTTTTGAAATTTATCCAAAACGCCTCAAGAGTTTTGCGCGTTGATGTTTTTGATTCCTGCGCTAGGATCCGCACATTCACTTCAAAATCATCGCCGTTGTGCTTTTGTGCCCTATGCGTACCTAGAGGAGTGTTAAGACGGATTTTAGCTTTCCCATCTAGATGTTCTTTCATGCGGACACAAAGTGGTCTACCCGTTTCCCCGATATATTCCTCGCCGCATGCATTACATGAGAAAAAGTATATTGTACCTAAACTCATGCAATCCCCTTCTTTCCCGTTTGGACTGATCATACAGTTTTCTGAGCTGCACAAACGATCATAGAGACGGTTTCTGCCTCTCCTCTCATCCTTCACACATGAAAAAAGCACTTATCAAAAATATGTATCGTACGGCTAAGAATGTGTGTACGGGAGAAGAAGAAAGGAAGGAATCGCGAAACCTGGCACGAAAAATTGCCATTTCCAATGGCTACGAAGTAGAAGCCACTCGGGTTAGAGGAAAACGTTGGGTAGTTTTCCAAAATGATATTTCAGACGAAAATAAGATTCCCTTTAAGCTGCCCTTCATATCAAATGAAGTAAGTCACGCCATTAAAAAGTGCTTAAGAAAAAGTGGGCTTGAAAATTATGTAACGATTATTGACATCCCACCCAATACCCTACTCAGCCAGTTAGTTCGAAACCGTCTCTATGATCGTTTGTGCAGCTCAGAAAACTGTATGATCTGTCCTAACAGGAGAGACGGAGGTTGCATGAGTTTAGGTATAATATACTTGATTTCATGTAATGCATGCGGAGAGGAATATATCGGGAAAACGGGTAGACCACTTTGTGTTCGCATAAAGGAACATCTAGATGGGAAATCTAAAATCCGTCTTAACACTCCTCTAGGTACGCATAGGGCACAAAAGCACAACGGCGATGATTTTGAAGTGAATGTGCGGATCCTGGCGCAGGAATCAAAAACAGTAACGCGCAAAACTCTTGAGGCGTTTTGGATAAATTTCAAAAATCCAAAGATGAACCGGAAGGACGAATGCCTCACTATCACGTGTGACCTGGCGCCCTATTTCAAAATGATATTTTGACCCCAGGGCGTGTCTTGCTTGCGACTACACGTGTGGGCCAGTCCCGCACGTAACATCACGGTGAGTGGCCTTTCTGTTCAATATGTCGTCTATTTGAAAGTTTGATCTTCATTAATACTTTAACCTTCTTTTCCAGCGAATAATAAAAGTATTCTAACATAAAATACGTCCAGACTCTGAGGAATGCGAAGTCGCCGAAACGTCAGCCATCGATCAATAACATCAAAAACAACGACAACGACAACGAAGATCTGTACCAACCTCGTGTCAGCTTAAGAAGATCAGTTTATAAGATCACATAAATAATTATATCAACTATCTATGCCGAGGTTTATAGAAAGTCCGTCTTTCGAGTATTTCTATGCGATTGACGGCCATTGAGACAGCCACGTTATCCTCACAGGCAAAAGGAAAGATCAAAGCTCCATCCAAATATTGAAGTAGTTCAGTCATCACTCATATGTGAGAAAGTTAATCACAATTAGACAAATCAAATACGGCCATAAAACGAATCTTCACTTTTACCTAACGCTGAAGTTGCGCTATACTTCCGTACAAATCGGGCTTTTTTCGATCGTAATCCATCGTTAAGTAATGGACGATCCAACGTGTCATTTTTCTGGTCTGCAAAACCAATGAAATTTCGGTCAAAAGTGTTTAGGTTTTAAAAGAAAAATCTATAACTGGTCGAAACTCTATAAAGACTGAAAGGCTCCACACAGAAAGCGGATGAAGTAAACTTTAGTGATAATGGAGCCATGTGCGCTACTTATGGTTAGTTTCGGCCAAGGCAATCGAAATCAAGGGCTTCCCGCAAGAAGTATGATGATTAGCCTTTCCAGGGCAATACCTTTCCTTCACGGCGATAACTGAGTGAGCTGCAATGGAATATGGCAAGTAATGGACTTAGAAGGGTGCGGGAAGCGGTTGCAGGTCACCCTCAAAGAACAAGCCCCATATCTATTCCGCAAAGACACAATTTCGACGGAAATATTCAATTCTGATTACCTATCCTAGTTAGATACTATTCGTTACGTATTACTGTGGTGATGAACTACTGCTGAAAACCGATGATGGGCAGGAAGACCTAGCTATAATAAGGCGGAAAGCACCGATCGGTGGAATTCCAATGAAACGAAACTTAAAACAGTAAAATAAAGAATAGAAAGTACAAGATCATGGGAACACCGCTCATTTTTAGCAAAATGTTCTTTCAAGTAGCTTTTTTGAAGAAATAGCTCATAATTTTTACCAACCTTTTTCACATGTGGGCGTGGTTTTATTTTCTGTCTCGTTCTTCACTGCTGAAACTAAAATTTAACGCTTAAAAGCGACGTATGAAGAACATGTTATCAATGACTACTGAACACTGAATGAACACTAGAGAAAGCCCCATTTTAGGTTAGCTTTGTTTTAAGCAGATCCTTTTAGAAATAAATGGCAAGTGATTTCCGCTAAAATAAGTAGGAATAGAAGGGGTATTTGAAATAGTATGTATCAAATGTGATATTAGCCAATTCGTTACGAACATGAAAAGTGACAAAGTATTATATAATTTAATAAGATTCGAATAAGCCACGGGAAGAATTCAACGAACCGAAAACCCTGAAAAGGCTACGCAGGACATGTTGAAACAACGTGAATTTCAAAAGCAAGTAGGTGAAAGTACTAAATTTTCATTCACCTTACTTTTTTACAGTTTTCCATTTCTTCCTTTACATTTCTGTGCTCTCTTAATTGGTAGTTTCATATTCAACATTTTTTTCTATTACCCTTGTATATCCAACATTACCTCCGTAACGGCAACCGCAATGCTTTTGCCCCCATTTACTTATACGATTATAAATGTAGATGAACACATTTCGAAACAGATTTCCTTCTTCTTTGACGAAGGCGAAAAACAGTGGAATTCCTGAAAAAGATAACCTTACAAGGAGGAAATGTAGAATAAAATGATAATCATTATTCGGCTATATTGCCAAACAATCGGATTGACCATAACATCTTGAAAAACAAGATTGCATCCATTATAATGCTAGGATATTTGCAAGGTTCTGGACCGCAGGTGTCTGCGGAGGGGAGCGATCGCACTATTACCCTTTCCGGGGGCCAACTCGTTCACCCTCACACCGTGCGGGTCCTTCGTTTCGCATGTGTCTCAGCTAGTTTTCTATCTACCAGTGTTACGAAGCGAAAATTATGTGAAAAGAAGGACCCACACGGTGTGGTGGTGAACGCGTTAGCCGCCGGAAAGGGTAATAGTGCGATCGCTCCCCTCCGCAGACACCTGCGCTCCGGAGCTTTGCAAATATTTCAGTATCATTTTGGTTGCATTTCATATGATACCCTGTCGCAAAAATTGTAGTAGGCACTAAATAAAAAAAAGAGATTCTCTTCATATTTTCACTGAAGGAACAGCTCGAGAAGTTACTCGAAATATACCGAAATGTCTTAACATCCCCATATTTAATTAATTCAGGTATCAAGCTCAAGCGATTCCACGTTCAAAGATGGTTCAACAACTTCTGCTTACAAAAGCCAAAAACAGAAAAGGTCCTTTCTGTCAGTTCAGAAAACGCTACTAAGACGGCACCATTCGCAAAGTCGATCACAGAGACGTTACGAAGAAAATCTCAGTTTCCAGGAACGACTTTCTATTAACCTCGGCATTGGAATATGAATGCGTCGTTTTCTTGTTCAGCAATCGCGAGGTTTTTAAACAGCATACATTTACTTCCACAGAGAAACACAATACAATACAACAGTAGCTGACGTTTCGGCAGTATCGCCTTCTTCAGAGCTTGGAAGGGTATACTGACATCCAATCTACTAGGCCAAACGCTTCAATGACACTTACAAAAAGACGAAGAACTCTATGGTAAATACATGATCAACAGCTTCTCGAAAAATCGAAAAACCCACCGCTTTTTAGGTGACTGTTGCATATGGTTGATGACCGCACCATTCTACATCAGAAATTGATGCGAACATATGGGGTCAGGTCGCGTATGACCTCTGGGCATAATTGTGATGTAATTACCATAGAGTTTTTCGTCTTTTGGTAAGTGTTATTGAAGCGTTTGGCCTAGTAGATTGTATATCAGTATACCCTTCAAGGCTCTGAAGAAGGCGATACTGCCGAAACGTCAGCTAGTGTTGTATTGTATTGTGTTCTTCTATCGAAGTAAATGTATGCTGTTTAAAAACCTCGCGATTGCTGAACAAGAAAACGACGCATTCTCACTGAACAGTTTCCATTCGAATACGTAGCTTACTAGAGGATGCAAACCAACCGCAGCTCTGACACTCTTCGCTGCAAATGTCCCAACATCGAAATACGATCGAAATGAAAACAAGGCAGCTTGCATGTTTGCTGAGACGTTGCCAACAACGCCTAATTTTTAGTTGCGATCGCTACAAAAGACGTTGGCTTCTCTTCAATGTGTACAATGCATCGAAACCAATGCACAGAAGCCAAGAAACCAAGCAGAAATTTAGTTTTTAATTTACATGCAATTTTGTAGACACGGGAGATAAGGATAAAGTGATAAAGCTGTAGGCGTTGATCATTCCTTGATGGATGTGCTGACCATTCGCTCTCATTGAAGGTGATTGAATGCATACCTGGCCTTTACAATAACTCGCAGTGGCATACCGATGTGTCGAGCCAGTGCTACCATCCTCGCAGACAAGTCGTATGCTAATTTACCGACCCCGGAGGAATAGAAGGCATGGTAGCCACGAGCGCCGGGATCGATCCTGTGTGTAATGCAGGACGCCTCCGACCAAGGCCCTACACGGGCCATAACACAATAATTATCTTCTTTAGCAAATTTTATGATTGTTCTTTATTCCATTTAAATATCGTTTATAGCTTTCTGTATATTTTTCTATACATTACTATTTCTTAAGTGTGAGGGAAAAGAATTCGCTGACATCGAACTAAACTATCGGCGATCTTTGGTAACATGTTCCACATCTTACATAGAAACAGTGACTTTGATTCCTCGTGATGCTGAGATAGGAAAATAACAAGAAATTGATGACCACGAAATAAATTTCACTTAAACTGCATCGACAAAGCACAGAATGGGCTTCAATTTCAATCGGCTCCTTATCGAGAGAAAACGAAGAGATGCTAAAGGCGCCAAGAAAATTTCCAGGCCGGTCTTTGGAAAATGTCTACAAAAATGTAAACAATATACAATTGGAGAATAACGTCTGTGCTAATGGCACTCCTGTTTAATCTAAAGTAAAAGTTACATTCTGCCAATGTATTAGAATAGAAGCCAGTGTGATAGCACTGATTTTGTGATTCAGTCTGTGCTCATATGGAGGGTACACACAAAAAACTATAGTGTATGCTGATAAGCCCTCCAAAATTCGCGGTGATGGTAGTTATAGAAGACTTTTTGAAAGAGGGAAAGAATTAACGAGCGGTGGTTCTTTTACGACCGCATGAATGGATCACAGCTCATTACAGAGGATATCCTATTTGATTGACGTGTTCATAAAGAATAGAAGGGCTTAAGACAAATAGAAAAAACAAAAAAAGTTTAGAAAAAGGCTGTGTTAGCAAGAAAATAGAGATGCCGTTTTGAATGCCATGAGGAGTTCCCAAAACATGACGACGTTAGATGTGCTGTAAAAGAGGCGAATTCGTCAGCCATAGAATGAAACAAATATCCCTTTGAAATGCTTTTGGTGAGCTCACAAAAGCTCCAAGTTGTAAAAGGATGAAATATGAAGAGATTCAACGGTTTGTAAAAAGTGTACGTTACGAAGAAATTTCAGCAGAAGTTTCAGGAAAAGAATTGAGGGTTTCTAATTTTTCCGTGAACGTCATACCTTCTGCAAATTAGTAGATTTGTTAAAACAAATATATATCTGTGGAAGAACAACTCATCTTTGCATGCACCGTGTATAGCTTGCAACCTGGTTTTGGCGAGGAAGTATTGCTTGGTGTCGAAGCGTCATATAGACGCTCAATTATCATAATCATTTTTAAAAAAGTCACTGTGTTGCTGTAACATAAAAAGCAAAAAATTACTACATACTCATTAAACAGATAAACTCTGCCTAAAGCATTTTTCTGAGAACTGCAATGTGTGGTGTGGGCAGTACAAGGATTGAATGGAAAACGTAACAATTAAACAAAGCTTTTACTTGGACCATCGTGTTTCGAGTGTAAAATCTCTGCATTTCGAGAAAAGAAAGAACGATGAAATCCCAAAAAACCTAATCCGAGGAAAAGTACTTTTTTCGACAACATCTGTGGAATTGCAATCGGTCCACCTACCATCCCTACGAAAGTGAAAAAAAAATCCGAAATGCGTAATGAAAAAGCCTTTCCACGATTTCTTTAACGGAGACTTCAACTTTAGAATAAGGAAGATGGGATCTATCTGACTTCTCTGAAGCATATGACCGCTCGCCGCTTATTAAAATATGAAGAGTCAACTAGGTCAGAAAATGTTAGATTAAAATACAAGACCATATGTTTTTGCCAAAAATTGCTTTCATTTTGAAACGGCCGTTTTCTTTAATACAGTATGCACTTCAGTGTTAAAAATGATGCAAAACCGAAGTCAACTGGCGATAAATTTGACTTGTTGTGTTCTACGAAGACCTGCTCCTTAGTATCGCGCTCGCGATGGCCGAAGTCAAAGTCGAGTTTGCAGCGAACAACACACCGAACGGACTGTACTGCTCTCCTTCAAGCGTTCAAAAACAACGAAATGAGCTGTGAAGATTTCCTTCTGACGATTGAACGCGCTCGTCGAAGACACTCTGTCCGATCAACTCGAGCGAGGACAAGACTACTGCACGCATTGCGGGCTCGATATGCAGAACACATTTGCCCTCGTTTATATGAACCCATACCTCTACTCAGTAGGCCGTTGCAAAGTGAGGTTTTGCTGAATGCTGACCGATTGCGACCGAAAAAATCGTCTTTACTTCTAACATTGTCAACTTTAAAAGACAGAGTGGAGACGACAGTCATTCCAACATTTCGCCGAGAAAGTGTTGTGCTATGCTAAACAACAGGTGTAGCATACGACGCTCGCCCCACAACTCCACCATAATAGCAAAGCTCTTCTGTCGTTCCTTATTTTCTACACAGATAAGCTACTCTAATGCAACAGCGAAATCATGCCATTCTTATCTTTTGTCGCAGCATAATGGATGTTTTGAAGATGATATCGTCGAATTTTCAAGAGGTACGAATACAATGAAACGACCAATAGGCTCGATAAAAAGAGAAGTTGTGAATGTGAAAAAATCAAAACACGTAGTCCACTGATAACGAATGAGTATGTGATGGCGGTAAAACTTAGTTGGCGATCTTCCGCTACGTGAGAGGGTTCAATAAATATGGAGAGCGAAACCAGATCCGTAATGGGGTCACCCTTTTAACAATTATAATTAAACGAATAAGAAGTACAGCTTTTTTACACGAATAAGCTGAAATGAGGTTGGCATAAAGGCCTTGTTCGGCTAACATTTCGACGCTTTCGCCTTCTTCAGAGCGTTGTTGATCAGAGTTGATGTTCTAAAGTTAGTAGTTGTCGGGATGTGGGTGTTTGTTGCCGCATCGTGTCGAATTCAGTGGAGTGGGAACACCACTCGAATGGAGAACTTCACTTGGCAGTGCCCTTTTACCACATCGCAACGACGACCAGCCGTGGACCATCACCTCGGATCAGCGCGACTCTCAGGAAGTCGAAGGCGCCAAAATGCTAGCCGAATAAAACTTTTATACCAACGTTATGTCAGCATAATTATGCAAAAAGGTTACTGATCATTGTTATCGAGGTTTAACGAAAGTCGGCTTTAACACAAACGGAGATGTTTGCAGCTCACTTCATTCAAGTGCACCAATAATGGAGCAGACCTCAAGTTACCTGCTAATATTTTTAGACTTTTGGCTTTCATTGCACAACGACGGCATAGAGCGAGATTAAGAAAAAGCAGAATCGTAAGAGGTTATAAACCCAATTTTTGTCTAATAAAGATAGCCGTGGATAAAAAAGACAGAAATCGCTGGAGTTATGAAAGCTTCACATGGCTTTAAAACTACAGCGAAAATAAAAAATAGGAAATCACGATAGTTTAATACAAACCGAATGCGCCGTAAATGATGGTTGCCATTCGGCACTGGGCTGTGTCTGCAGCCATGTTACCGTATCCTATGGTGGTATACACGCTGAAACAGCTCAGTATTAGTAAAATCTGCTAGAAAAAGTGATTAAAAATTGAAAGTAAACTAAGGGTCGTATATTCCTGATAGCATCGATAATGAAGAAACCAGGTTAAGGGAAAGGCAAAGCAAGGGTCTTTGTTGATGTGGTGGATTATACGCGATCCTCCGGTAATGGCATTCGCAGATTCGAAGGACACATTAGTCGCTAGTTTTCGTCATATCTCAGGATCGTGGTGGTTGTATTTCGCATATATTACGGAAGATGAGTGCCCATATTTTTACGAAGTACTATAATAGAAGACATTGAATACGAAAAAGAATAACGGCACGGAAGCATATGAGGAGGATAACTATATAATACCTACTTGATACTTGAATGGCCAGTCCTCACTGATTGTGCGGCTCTCAGCACAATCTCCATTTTTCGGAGATTTGCTGGTTAAGCTATTATGGTGCCCTGGAATATCGAGGTCAGCTTCGCCAAAGTCTCCTCCAGGCCTTCACCACCACAGGAAATCGTAGCCCTTGTGGACCAGAGGGATAATTGCCACCATGCGACTTTGATACCAGGACGGTGGTGGAACCTGGTATTGGTTTGCTCTTAGCTAGGCTTCCTGATGGGAGCGCCGGACTCCTTCTCAGCTTAGGAGACTCTGCCGGTGTGATGAATAACCCAGCTGTACATGGCAGCCCGACACCCAGGAACCTCCCAACCACGATGTGCCGGTAAACCGCTGGGAAGCGAGAACTATATGAGGAAAGATAATAGTTGCTTTCACTTGCAGTTATATTTTTTCAGCGTTGTTCCGTTGAAGACGGAGAAAGCGCCAAGAACCAACAAACTTGCCAGGACACTTTCTTCACCATCAGATTTCGTGCTTGCCTTTTGTGCTCTCCAACCAGATTTTTCTTCATTTCATTCATTGTTTATGAATATTGTATTAATGAAAAGATTTAAATGCGAGTGCTGAGTTGAAAAAAATGTTCAGTTTATTTGGACGCTATGAAGAGTACAATAGAGATTTTGCTGCTTTTTGATGATGTTCTTCGCCAGCCTTAGCAGTAGAATTATTCGCGTTCGTCATTCAACACCATTTGATGGAAAGATGACAGCTCATTAGCATATTGTGTTCATTCGACGACGGAAGCAAATCAATGGGTTTA